AAGAGACATCTTGACATGAATTAGCAAAATCATCCAGGGAGCACTTGTGCTTTCACCATGCTAAAATGGTTAAAAAATGCTATGTTCTTATAAAGAAACAAGTTTTGAATATAAAAAATGCATACATTTCTCGTGTGACTATTCCAAAAAAGTGTTCCAAAAATTGTTATGATGTATGATACACACTTATTCCAAAAAAAGAGTTGTATGACCAAATACAGACAATTTTTTTGCCTCATGGTATGCTCAATGTACTCAATGATTGTAGATTTTGTTTTTTGTTCATTTGCCTTGCTCAATGTACTTGGAATTTAAAATTTTCATGCCAATTTTGCATGGTCCCATGAAAAAGCAAAAAATTGCCATGAGCTATTTAATTGAGATGTAAAAGTAATGAATGTAAATTTGTCGTGGGAAAAGAAAACTACATTTGCCATGGTAATAGAATTCAAGAATTTGACATGCCCATTTTTTGCCTCATGGTATGCACAATGTGCTCAAATGATTATAGACTTTATTTCTTATTCATTTGCCATGCTCAAATGTACTTGAAGTAAAAAAATACCATGGTCCAATGAAAAAAATTGCCATGTAAAAAATAAATTTGCCCTGGCAATGAAGGTACTATTGTCGTGGTAATGAACATAAATTTGCCATGGAAAATGAAAACTACATTTTGCCATGGCAACAAAATTGAAGGATTTGCCATGGCGGTGTAGTTACATTTGCCATGCAACAAAAGATAAAATTTCCATTGCAAAAAGAGTAAATTTTGCCATGGCAAATAGAAGTAAAAAACTACCATGACTTGCACACCAAAAAAAGAATTTTTCCATCTTAGCATGATGTTTTTGCCATGTGGACATTACCAAACATGTGTAAAGAAATTACCATGTGCACATGATTTTACTTGAATTAAGTTTGCCCTGGTCCATAAATTTAGTTTGCCATGGTCTAAATTAGAGAAATTCCCGTGGTCTACTTAGTAAAATGACCATGTTATATAAAGTATCCAAATTATCTACATAGTGCCATGGGGAAAACACATTGAAAAACATCTATAAAATTGCCATGGGAATAGCCGCACACCATCGGAGTGAAATTGCAAAAAAAAACTAAATTTGCCATGTTGGGAAGACAAAATATTATGAATTTGCCATGTTGAAAAGGCAAAATGTCCATAAATTAAGTTTGCCACGGTCTAATTAGAGAAATTCCCATGGTCTAATTAGTAAAATTACCATGCTATATCGAAATTCCAAAGTATCTACAAATTGCCATGGGGAAAAGATTTGTAAAACATTTACGAAAATTGCCATGGGAATGTCCGCACACCATGTGAGGAAAATTTCAAAGATCTTGTCATGAGAGAATTGCAAAAAAAAGAAGTTAAATTGCCATGTTGGGAAAACAAAAATGTTATGAATTTTCCATGTGATCAGAATGCACAACAAAAACATGAACACATGGCAACATAAAACACTTGTATAAATGGCACGGTCGACTACATGATCCTCTCATTGCAGATTTGAATTGCCATGGCTACTACTACGTCCCTTACAATGCCAAAACATGAAAAACGACGTATTGAAATTACAATGGCAATTGTGGACTGAACATAGGAGGTATCACATCAAAACCATCACTACCAACATAATTTAAAAAGGAATACAAAAGTGCTCATCTATTGACAATAATCAGCACACTAAAAATGGAACCTAGGCACATGTTTTTCATTACTCAAACAAAACAAAACTACTAAATGCTAAAAACAGATAGAAGTATATGAAGGATTAGCTAACTAAATTACCATGTGGCTCACATCACAAATTGCAGGGATACTACATTCAGCACAACTACTATGGGCGTTCAAATGTTGCAATCACCTCAGGTAAACGAGGATGGGGTGGTCGCGTTGGTGGCTGCCAATGCGAGCATGAATAGGATGATGACGGTGGTGTGTGCAGGCGCGGGGTGAGGCGTCAGCCTAGTGAGCTCTTGAAACTCCAGCCACAGAGGACAGTCATGGATTTCATTGGCATGACGTCGCCTTTGTGCATCGATTCGAAGGGGAGGAAGGAGGGTAAGACGCAACTCACCTTGGGAAGATAATGGCGAGCTCAGAGGGGTCCGGGGAAACAGGATGAATATAAGGCTAAGGTGGAAGCATTGGTGGCAACCTCTCCTTCGTTGTGCGACACCATGATTTGATCGCTGGAGCTCCTCTCCGTAGCGGCCCGCCTCTGCTCCGCCGCCGCCAGCCACGGAACAACGCATCCCGCGAAACCACCCGCACATGCGACCTCGTTGCCCTCGCGCATGTCTTCTCCACCGCACGACATCCTTGATTTGGTTTGGTGGAGCACCTCTCCCATGGTGGCTCGCCTGGGCTCAGCCGCCGTCAGCCACGGGAACGGCGCAAGATGCCTCGCTGCCGCGCGTGAACTCCTCGTTGCCGCCCATGGGCTGCTCGTCGCCGGCGCATGGCCTTCCCCGTCCATGTAGATAAGGGGGTGCGGCCTTGTCTCGAACGAGTCTTGGTGATGACGTGTCAACGTGAGCTCGCCAAAATTCGTGCAATGGCTTCGAAGGCGTTCGGACGGAGCAGCCAGATTTCTGACATTTAGAAGTTATCATTTTCCTTAAAAAATAGTCTATTCGAAGTATTGTTTTTTTTAAACCTCCACGAATATGATGGCATCACGACAATCTACACACAAGATAAGACACTCATCAATGTTTATAAAAATGTCTTGTTGCGGAAACATTTGCAAAGAGGTTGTGTTGCAGATTTTTTTTGCAACATAGATTATTGCACGTTTTTTTTGAAACATACATTGTGTCACACGATTTTTTTGCAGCAAAGGTAGAAAGAAAACATATTCACTTTTTTTGCAACATAGACAATGTTTCAGGAATCCTTCTGTAACAAGGATGATGTTGCAAAAAACTTTGCAATGAAAGATGATGTCGCAACACCACTGTCGTTGCCGTTTGCAACTCCGTCATTGTTGCAGAAACTTGTCGACCAGTGGCCGCACGGCCTGGCGGGCACATGCCGATTCCAATTGCACGCACGAGGCCGAGGCGGTTCAGGCGGAGGTTAGCGCGGGGGAGCGACGCTCCTGGACATCAGACGAGGGTATGTGCGCGGAGGCAGCAAGTTCCCGGTGGCAGCGCAGTGGAGGTCGGCCGATGGCGGAATCTGGTGGCGGAGGTCGGCCATGGCAACAGTTGTTTATGGATCTATAACTAGTTGAGTCCAAGAGGCCACCGTCAACGGAGACTTGGTCGTCGTCACCACTGCTGGGGGTCTGCGTCCGCTTGTCCTGGTAGGCCTGCGACGATGCCAATGTAGGATCCACCCGCCGTCACTCTCCTCAATCCCACCCACGACAGGATCTAACTCCCCGTCCGTTTTGCAACAAATGACTAGTTGCAGTCTTTCTTTCTGAAACAATGGTGGAGTTGTAAAAATATGAAGTAGGTGGAAGTTGACTCCCGATCATTGGATGGGGAACCAATCCGATGAGCAAGGAGGCGGTGGACGTTTGCCTAAAATTGGTCGGTTGAAGGCAAACATTTCCCTTAGAAAAAAACGAATTTTCTTTTTATTTATTTTTTACATCTATTGTTCACCGAAACTCCATGTCCATGGAGATGCTCTAAGCTGCTTATCACAACTTCACACGGCAGCGATGGAAGGCGACGGCGGCACGGCGGCGGCCTGGATGGCGACGCACCGCGGGATGTACGAGCGGGCCACGCGGCACCCCTTCACCGTCTCGATCCGCGACGGTTCCGTCGACCTGGCCGCCTTCAAACGCTGGCTCGTCAGTATTTTCTCAGCTTCTCTCCTCAGGCTCCCCCCTCCCCACCTCCGACCTCCACCCCACCCCCAATTTCTTATGTAGCTTTGCTTATCAGTTGATACAAGGTGATTATACTTAAATTGGATTGAGCGGCTCCTGCTACGTAAAGCATCGCTAACCTTACACTAGCAGTGGATCTTGATTCGGACTGCGTGACTTTTTGCACTGACTTGGATGAGCTAGACTAATAGAGCTACTTCTGTGGTCTGAGAAGAAGAAACGATGGTTTGGATGGGACTTCATAAGGCTACTGAATGTGTTGATCCATTTAGCATGTGTGCAAGATTTGGGGAGATTTTGCTCCTACAAATCAGAATTTGCTGCTCAATTAACAATAATGCTATCTTGTTTTTGGTAATTGGAGAATGTTGGACCTTCTTTTGCCAGGCAACAGTAACCAGGCAGTTAAGCCTGTCAAATTCCCTGCTGTGATTCCGTGGTCAAGGGCATATTTCTCCTTGTTGAATAGTCTAGTTCACTCATGGCGATTTCCTGTCATGTTTACGAAATGCCATGCCTTTTGTTACTTGCATTACATATTCATACAAATACTTCCTGATGCACAGAGAAGGAACAATACTTCGTGGGGAATGTATATAAAATAAAAAAGAAACGGCGTGTTTCATTTAAATGTCTATTATTGGGAAGCTGCTTAGCTGGAAGCACTAGGGTATTACTCTGCATTAGTACTCATATCCCTTTTTATCCATTTTGATGACAAGTATTTCCGGACGGAGGGAGTACTTGGTACTTGGCGCTTAATTGGTGCTAGTTAGATTCAGACGTCCTATACTTCACTAATGTAGCCATTTGTTTGTTTTCTAAGATCAATCCCACAGTGGCTACCTTTACTCCTGTCGTTAATGCTCGTGATGAAATAAAAATATCTGTTTATGTATCATATTTCAGGGTCAGGACTACATGTTCGTGCGGGAATTTGTTGCATTTCTAGCTAGTGTACTGCTCAAGTGTTGCAAAGAGTCAGACAGCTCGGACATGGAAACAATCCTAGGTGGCTTGGCTTCTCTTAGTGATGAGCTCTCTTGGTTCAAGAAGGAAGCTGCTAAATGGAGTGTTGATCTGGCCGGTATTTCTCCCCTCAGTTCTACTCCCTCCGTTCCAAAATAGATGACCCAACTTTGTACTAAATTTAATACAAAGTTGGGTCATCTATTTTGGAACGGAGGGAGTAATATGGAGTACTGCAGGTTGATCTCTCAAACATTTACACAATTATACAACCTTATAAGGTGCTAAAGGATTGTGACTGGTATTATTTTTATGGCCAGGTTTCTCCAAAGCCTTGATGATCCAGAGATCAGCTACAGTGTAGCCATAACTACATTTTGGATAATCGAAACCGTGTACCAGGATAGTTTTGCTTTCTGCATAGAAGAAGGTAACAAGACGCCGGCGGAGCTCCTGGGACCTGTCAGAGATGGGGCAGCCCTGAGTTCAAGCAGTACTGCCAGTCTCTGCAGCGGATCGCTGATCGCTGCTTGGCGAATGCGCCACATGATGTTGTTGTTGTCAAGAGAGCTGAAGAGGCCTTTCTTGGTGTGCTCGAGCTGGAGATTGGATTCTGGGACATGAGTTCTTCTCAGTCCTAAGCGGCGACTACATCGTGCCAACTGCCAACACCGAGCATTACTTGGACGAAATAGATACCGCAGTGGGTTCAGCATTTTTACTGTCATTTCCCCTGTATCTTGTTTTCTCTGTTGAACACCGTGCAATAACCTGGATGAAATAATTGTTGTGTTGGTTCAGACCGAAACCTCGATTGCACTTTATTTTTCCACGTACCTTGGTTTCTTTGGTGAACACCGTGGAATTACTTGGATGGTATAGATGTTTTTGTCAGTTTAGTGTTCAGTCTTTCAGGCTGGAAACCTCGGCTGCGCTGTCGGTATAGATGTTTTTATCGGTATGTATTTTTATGCTGGCTTCTTTGGATTCCCAAGAACTTTTGATGTATTTTTTTTTTTTGATCAAAGAAGGGCTCGCCCCTTCCGATTTTCATTACTGAAAACCAACCTTACATAATTCATAGGACAGACAGCGCAAAAGAACTTTTGATGTATAATTGTAGGTTTGTAGCGAACTGAAATAATGTTGCCATGTGAAAACCTAAACGTCACAACCAGTTGCTAAGTACGTCAATATGACCCACATAGTTTCTGAAAGAGCATGCTGCTGCAACGAACTAAAAGCAAAGGGGAAAAACAGATTAAAAATGAAGGAAAAATATCAGAGCCAGGTTTCGATCCTGGGACCTGTGGGTTATGGGCCCACCACGCTTCCGCTGCGCCACTCTGATTTGTGTGATATGCTATTGAAGTGCACCTTAATTAGCACTCTACCTCGCAGCTTGCCTTGATAATTTGATATTCAGAACTCCTAATAAACATTATAGTATCTTGTAATTTCACAAACAAATCTCTGCTCGCTTTATAGTAAGCCAAGCCAAATAAAGCAACAAACCAAACTTACACGCCCAACATGCCAATGTGCCACGCAAGCTAAGCCAGAAGCTACCGCTCATGATGACGGCCGGCAATGGCAGAAGACGGCTGGAGCAGCTACTCACGGCTAGCTGTCGTAGGTGCGGCACTCGTCGGTCTCGGGGTTGTCCTCGCAGAACTCCTCCAGCGGGTCGCTGTGCTCCTTCTTGCGGTCGCGCGCGTGGCTGGCCGCCGCGCTGAGCTCCTCCACCTCGTCCCACGCCGCCACGCACTCGCCGCCCTCCGGGTCCCCCGCGCACGTCTCCTCCGCCTGCTTGATGCTCTCTGTCACCTTCTGCGCCAGCTCCGGGGGCGTGGACGGCGAGCCCGCCACGGCCACCAGCCGCCGGCCGTGCGCGCGCATCGCCCGGGCCGCGAACGACACGACGTCCGGGCGAGATGGCAGCGTGGCCGAGGGCTGCGCAACGGTTCTGGGAGCCGGAAAGGTGGCCATGAAGGCCATGGTGGTGATGGTGGCCATGGCTTCGCACTTGGTTCGCAGGAGGGTGGAAGAGAAGGTTTTGGTTGTGGTCTGGCCGTTTGGGGTACGCCATTTTTATGTGGCTCTCCGCTGCTTATCTTTTGGGGACCAATCCCGTTGTGACAAATCAGCCTGGGCAGATTTCCCTTCTAGAAGATTTCAATAATCCTAGACCTACGGGGTTGTTACGGGTTTGTTACAGGATTACCCAAGATTTTTCTCCTGAATTTTCTTACCGAAAATGCTACACCTACGTAAGGGCCCGTATAAATGATGCTAAGAATATTTTAGAAGTGCCACATAAGATAAATGTTAAGATGGAGAAGAGAGAAATCGAAAAAAAATGTTTGTCTTCTCTTATTTAAGCACAATCCGTTTCCATGTTTTTACGAATAGATAGTTATTGAAGATAAGGCTAAGAAATAAGCAAATTTTTATTCTGATCCCAAGCTCAAAAATTCACCCTGATGAACAATAAAAATTGATAAAATAATAAAAGAAAATCAAAAAATTGATAAACTTTGACAAATATTTTGTGTGCTTGTAAAATTTCAGTAGAAAATAACATTCATGAAAAAAAAATCAGCATTTCCAAATGTTTCCAAAACTAGAATTTTTGGAGCATCAATTTTTTTGCCACAACTTTTACAAATGTTATTTCATGCTGAAATTTTGCAAGTATACAAAGCATTTGTCAAAGTTCACCAAAAAAATATTCAAAACATTTGTGGAAGTTTACCACAAAAAATATTCAAAATATTTGTCAAATTCTTGGCCCGTATGAACCTCAAAGCACTTCTAGATCAGACTAAGTGGGAATGGACGAATCAGTCATTTTCAGAGAGTCAGACGCTAGCTATCCCGCATGACTGTCGCCTGAGAAAGACGAGACACGATGGGACGCTTCATAACTTCCCTTGCGCTCTCTTGCCTCACTAGTTCACACCACACTCTCACTATCTCTCACCGCCCTCTCAGTTTCTCCCATGACAACCCTCGACCTCGCCACCCCTCACCTTCCTCCTCCAACCACCACCATTACTTGTGGGCGGACGACTGATAACCCACAACTATAGGGGACAACTCAACTGCTAATACTCATGTATATAGGCATCACGTCCAAGATTAGTAGACCAAAACGATTCTGCATCTACTACTATTACTCCACACATCAACCGCTATCCAACATGCATCTAGTGTATTAAGTGAAGGAAATATGCCCTAGAGGCAATAATAAAGTTGTTATTTATATTTCCTTATATTATGATAAATGTTTATTATTCATGCTAGAATTGTATTAACTGGATACTTAGTACATGTGTGAATACATAGACAAAACAAAGTGTCCCTAGTATGCATCTACTTGACTAGCTCGTTAATCAAAGATGGTTATGTTTCCTGACCATAGACGTGTGTTGTCATTTGATAAACGGGATCACATCATTAGAGAATGATGTGATGGACAAGACCCATCCGTTAGCTTAGCATAATGATCGTTAAGTTTTATTGCTATTGCTTTCTTCATGACTTATACATGTTCCTCTGACTATGAGATTATGCAACTCCCGAATATCGGAAGAACACCTTGTGTGCTATCAAACGTCACAACGTAACTGAGTGATTATAAAGATGCTCTACAGGTGTCTGCAAAAGTGTTTGTTGGGTTGACATAGATCAAGACTAGGATTTGTCACTCTGTGTATCGGAGAGGTATCTCTGGGCCCTCTCGGTAATGCTCATCACTAGAAGCCTTGCAAGCAATGTGACTAATGAGTTAGTTGCGGGATGAAGCATTATGGAACGATTAAAGAGACTTGCCGGTAACGAGATTGAACTAGGTATGAAGATACCGACGATCGAATCTCGGCAAGTAACATACCGATGACAAAGGGAACAACGTATATTGTTGTGCGGTTTGACCGATAAAGATCTTTGTAGAATATGTAGGAGCCAATATGAGCATCCAGGTTACGCTATTGGTTATTGATCGGAGATGTGTCTCGATCATGTCTACATAGTTCTCGAACCCATAGGGTTCGCACGCTTAACGTTCGATGACGATTTGTATTATGAGTTATGTGTTTTGGTGACCAAAGTTTGTTCGGAGTCCCGGATGAGATCACGGACATAACGAGGAGTCTTGAAATGGTCGAGAGGTAAAGATTGATATATTGGAAGGTTACATTCGGATGCCAGAATGGTTTTGGGAAGTATCGGATAAGTTTCAGAGTACCAGGAGGTTACCCGAACCCCCAGGGGACTATTGGGCTTTCATGGGCCCTAGTTGAGAGAGGAGGTCGGCGGCCAGGTGGAGGCGCACGCCCCCCAAGCCCAAAACGAATTGGACTAGGGGTGGGGGCGCGACCCCCCTTTCCTTCTTCTCCTCCACCTCTTTCCCCTTCCCCTTCTCTGGAAAGGAAGGGGGAATCCTAGTAGGACTGTGAGTCCTAGTAGGACTCCCCCCTTGGTGCACCCCCTCTAGGTCGACCGCCCCCTCCTCTCCTCCTTTATATACGGGGGCAGGGGGCACCCCAAAGCCACAACATTGTCTTAGCCGTGTGCGGTGCCCCCTCCACCGTTTACTCCTCCGGTAGTATCATCGTAGTGCTTAGGCGAAGCCCTGCGTGGATCACATCATCAACACCATCATCACGCCGTCGTGCTGACGAAACTCTCCCTCGACCCTCTGCTGGATCAAGAGTTTGAGGGACATCATCGAGCTGAACGTGTGCTGAACTCGGAGGTGTCATACGTTCGGTGCTAGATCGGTTGGATCGTGAAGACATTCAACTACATCAACCACGTTAATATAACGCTTCCGCTTTCGGTCTACGAGGGTACGGGGACACACTCTCCCCCTCTCGTTGCTATGCATCTCCTAGATAGATCTTGCGTGATGATAGGATTTTTTTTAAATTACATGCTACGTTCCCCAATAGTGGCATCCGAGCCAGGTCTATGCGTAGATGATTTGCACGAGTAGAACACAAAGAGTTGTGGGCGATAATAGTCATACTGCTTACCACCAACGTCTTACTTTGACTCGGCGGTATTGTTGGATGAAGCGGCCCGGACCGACATTACATGACCGCATTTGTGAGATTGGTTCTACCGATGTGTTTTGCACATAGGTGGCTGGCGGGTGTCTGTTTCTCCAACTTTACTTGAATCGAGTTTGACTACGACCGATCCTTGTTGAAGGTTAAAACAGCACACTTGACGAAAAATTGTTGTTGTTTGATGCGTAGGTAATAATGATTCTTGCTAGAAGCCCATAGCAGCCACGTAAAACTTGCAACAACAAAGTAGAGGACGTCTAACTTGTTTTTGCAGGGCATGTTGTGACGTGATATGGTCAAGACATGATGTGATATAAATTGTTGTATGAGATGATCATGTTTTGTAACAAAGTTATCGGCAACTGGCAGGAGCCATATGGTTGTCGCTTTATTATATGAAATGCAATCGCCATGTACTTGCTTTACTTTATCACTAAGCGGTAGCGATAGTCGTAGAAGCAATAGTTGGAGAGACGACAACGATGCTACGATGGAGATCAAGGTGTCAAGCCGGTGACAATGGAGATCATGACGGTGCTTTGAAGATGG